CCGTGCTAATTCTGGGGTAGTTTCAAACTTTTTTAATTGCACCATGGTGCTCTTTTTTTCATAGACGGTGCACAACTGAACCTATTTTAGTGTACAGTCAACAAAATCAAAAACAAGCAAGGTGCATGCGCGAAATTAAAAGTAGAATGTCGACAATTTACCCATCGCATCCTGTATTTGATTTAACGAATAGCGGCTTGGACTGAGAAATTATGTTCGAGAAACAATTGAGTTCATTACATTCGCTCAAATGAAAATAAACATGAGAAAGGCATGAATCCATCTCCCCCCACCCCCGCAGCTATTAAATAATAGGTTTTGTATCTGAAAAGATCCTTGTTTTTCTCTAAATATTGTTAATGCAATATTCACTCTCAAAAGACGAATCATTCTTACAAACCTAAATATGCTTTGGTTTTGAAAAACCCATAAACCGTAAAAAAAAAAAAATAGATGCACTCGAAATTTATTCATAATTGCCACATATGACTAGTAGTTAGGGTGATATAATCGTTACTAACAATATAATCCGTCTTCGACTGGGTCTTTCATTACTGGGAATTTTTGCCATTCGATTGGAACAGTTTAATTTTAAAGTCAGCCTTTAAAAGATTAAAGATTTTTCACCTTCAAGGTTGTAATTTTTTCCAGACAATTTGGACTCAAAACCGACACTGAAGAATTATCTCACACACAAAAAAGATTTCATCGAAATCGGATGAAAAACTGTGGAAACGTATAAACAACATCCGATCACACACACACACACACACACACACACATATTTTGAGAATTATAGATATATATATTATCGTAATAATTTAAAGTATTTATTGTTATTAAAGTTTTTTTTTAAGATATATATCCAAGAATAGACAGTAAATAGTAAAACGTTGCCGAGATTTATAATAGACAGGAAGTAGTGGAGAGCCATTGTCGCCAACAATTTGGACTCAAAAACGGCACTTAAGAATTATCTATCAAACAAAAAAAAACATCGAAATCAGATGAAAACTGGAAACGCTTAAACTACATCCAGTCAGACACACACACATACACGCCCATTTTGAGAATTATAGATATAAGATTACAGTCGGTTCCCATAACTTAAACTATTTCTGATTCAAACTAATACATTATTTACATATTGGGATTTAATTTAGCCTTTTTTTCATGAAGATAATCCGATAATCTCAATCAAATGAACTTTATTCCAAATAACAAAATTTAGAAACAAACTTTCTACACTCTAGAGGAAATTCCCTATTCTATAATGACATATAAAATTAATTAATGTACAATATTTGTTTAGCTAATGCAAATACATTCTTTAACCATCTGTAAATTTCCACTGTTGAATTTAATGTCAATCGTGCTTGAACCCATGATCCAACACATTACTCGGAAGAAACATCCACCAGGGGCAAATAATCAGCAAATTCTTGCAATAAAAATATCATCGCTGGATTGGCAAAAAAAAAAAACAGTGCTGTGATGCCATTATCTCCATTCGATGGAAACTCATCATTGTTTCTTAATCTTTTTACTATCTCCGCCTCCTTCTCGCCCCCCCCCACAAAAAATACATAAATACAAACGCAATGAGTTTTTTTTTCCATCAATGCCAATGTTTAAATACATTTCGTTCTGTAATCGGCACAAAAGAAAAATAGTTGGGCTTCGGCCAAGAAGTTCAGTGGATTATTTGATGTCTGGAATTGGATTTAGGGTTTCAATCCTGACATCAGGCACTTAGTGCAGATTTTTCCGTAATATTCATTCCACGCGAGATTTTAGATAAGTTCATGTAACAAATCACAGCAGCAAATGGTAAATCTTATGAAATGGCAGTAATGGTGGTCGAAATGGTATTGATGGTGGTGGTTGTGGTTTCACGTGATCCTTGCCAAGATGGCAGTGGTTTTCAAGGTGGTGGTCGTGGCGACGGCGGAGGTTGTGGCGGCGTTCGGCGGCGGAGCTTGTGGCGGCGGCATATGTGGTGATGTTTAAGTATATAATTATACGGAACTTTTGTCCACTTTCACCGTACTTCTTTTTGAATATTCCACTTTTCAAAACAGTCTACCAAATCCTACTTACGAATCAATGTCAATGGGGTTAGGAATTGTTCTTTTAATGTCGTCCCCCAACTGAAATCCTTCCTTTCAACGGCTAGTTTTAGACCTAAGAAAAGTCAGAAGCCTTAGAGGGCGAAACCGGAACTATAGAAAAGTCAACAGACCGGTTTGATGCTAAAGTGCCTGCATAAGACGTCATTGTGGATTTGACTCGCACGCAAAATCACTCAGTGGCGTCTCCCTGCCGACTGACGGCAGAGTAACATTGGACGGTAAGATTACCTATGATTCCTCTTGTAAAATTACACAAAGGCCTCGCCACCGCTTTTCGAAAACGGCTGAACACGTTCCAGACAGACTTCCTCATGTGTTAATACGCTTCTCTCTATCAACATAATAAACGAGTTGAGACTGTCAGAGCG